ATAAATAATATTTCTCCATTTTAAAATGACTGTCGTTTAAGATTTTTGCACACAGATTAAAAAATGTAATCATATTTTCATGAGACATTACATTTTTATTAAATTAGTCTTATTAATTTATTGGAAGTAGTGTGAAAAATAATAATTATAAGATATTACTACATGGAAAAATAGTTATCATTTCTCTAAAACGATGTTAGGAACTAAAATTCGTATGTAAAAGTATAAGGAAATTAACAAAAAGAATATTTGATATTTTGAAAGAAACAACTTGACTCATATATACAGCCTTACAGATAAGAAACTGAAACTAAAAAAAAAAACTACCCATGTTTTCACCCACTACTAGGACTAAACTACTCATGTTTTCACCCACCACTAGCACTTCCTAATAACATGGTAGACTAATTCAAAAGAAAATAACTACTCCTAAAATAGGGAAACCATAAAACTGACTAACAAATCCTCCCTTAAACCGAATGCTATATGCAATCAGTTTATATCATTCTCTGAACAAACTCCTAGAGATATGCGTAGCTTCACGAAGACATCCATCTTGAGTGGTTTCGCCATGATATCTGCCAATTGTTCTTGTGTGTTACAGTGTATCAGCTCTACAGTTCCAGCCTTTGTCAAATCCCGAAGGAAATGGAACGAACATCAATATGCTTACAACGACCATGCATTACTGGATTCTTCGAAAGCTTAATAGCAAAACTACTATCACAATGAATCACAATGGCTTTGCTTTGATTTTTATACAGTTTTCCCAACACTCTTTTCAGCCAAATGGCTTGACATGCACATGAAGCTGCACCTATACACTCTACTTCTGTGATTGATAGACTCACAATTGGTTGTTTCCTCGATGACCAAGAAACAGCACCTGAGCTCAACAAGAAAATATAACCTAAAGTACTCTTCCTATCATCCAAGTCCCCTGCATAATCGCTATTAATGTAAGAGACAAGCTCGTTGTTTCCGTCCTTCCGGTAGAAGATTCCAAACTCAGTTGTTCCTCTTAAGTATCTCAGCACCTTTTTGGCCACTTGTAAATGCAGTTCAGTAGGATTCTCTATATACCTGTTAATTATATTCACCACAAATAACATATCGGGTCGAGTAGATGTCAGATACATAAGGCTTCCTATAATTTGTCTATAGTAGGTCTTATCAACCTTCACACCAAACTCATCTTTTGTGAGTTTAACACCTGAAACAATTGGATTGTGCAATGAATTGCTTTTATCCAATCCAAATCTCTGCAACATCTCTAATGCATACTTCTTTTGACATAAGAAAATTCCATCTGATCGTTGCATCACTTCAAGACCAAGAAAGTATCTCATTTTACCAAGATCTGTCATGTCAAATTCTCGCTTCATAGAACTTTTAAAATTTGGAAACATCAACTCGTCATTTCTGGTAAAAATGAGATCATCAACATACAAACTAACAATTAATATTTTACCTTCTTTTTTTGTCTTCACAAACAAGGTATGCTCATAGTCGCACTTCTCAAAACCTTCCTTCCGAAAATATGTTTCTATACGACTATACCAAGCACGTGGTGATTGCTTAAGCCCATAAAGAGCCCTTTTCAGTTTATAGACTTTTTGCTTATTACCTTTTTGTACATAACCACAAGGCTTGTCCACATACACTATTTCATTCAACTCTCCATGCAAAAATGCCGACTTTACATCCAGTTGATAGATTGCCCAGCCTTTTTGAGCTGCAAATGCTACCACCAAACAAATTGTCTCCATGCGAGCCACTGGTGCAAATACTTCTGTATAGTCTACCCCATACTCTTGTGAATATCCCTTCACTACTAGCCTTGCTTTATACTTGTCTACTTCTCAATTATCTTATGAATTTTGTCTTGTAAACCCACTTCACTCCAACTTTCTTTGCTCCTTTAGGTAAATCCATCAATTCCCATGTGCCATTTCTTTCAATTGCCTCCATCTCCACATCCATGACTTTCCTCCATTTTTCACTTTTAACAGCATCACCAAAGTGAGTAGGATCACCTCGCCAGCTGCAAACATGGTAAAATTAACATCGACATTTCCTTCTGAAAGACCTTCTCCAGTTTCATAGTCTTTCATCCAAAGTGGTGGCCTTCTACACCTTTGTTGATTGGGATTAGAAGTGTTCTCTTCTACTGTAGAATCAGAGAAGACATTTTCTTCTTCTTCTTCTTATGTATCAGTATTATGATCAGATTCATGCCCGACTTTATTTTCTTTTTCCACATTAACTCCACATCCTTATCACCCCAATCTAAGTCACATGAGATGGCTTCTTCATACTTCTTATCCCAATCCCAACCCTGATCTTCTTCAAAAACAACATCCCGACTTGTTATGATCTTTTGTGAAAATGGATCATAAAGCATGTATGCTTTTGATACTTCACTGACTCCCAACAAAACACAACGCAAACTTTTATCATCTAGCTTAGTTCTTTTAGCATCAGGTACGTGAACATAAGAAATACATCCAAAAACTATAAAATACTTAACTGAAGGCTTGACCCCGCTCGAAGCTTCTTCTTATGTATTATTCCTCACTACTAACGTTAGACTCTGATTCAAGACATGCACATGCCAGTTTACCGCTTCAGGCCAGAAGCTTTTAGGCATTTTCTTCTCAGATAGCATGCTCAGAACCATGTTCATAATGGTTCTATTCTTTCGTTCTGCAACCTCGTTCTGTTGTGGCGTATATGCAGCTGTTAGTTGCCTTCGTATACCATTTTCACAGCAAAAATTGGTGAATTCGCGTGATGTAAACTCTCCCCCACGGTCAGTGCGCAAGCCTATGATAAACGAATTTGCTTCCTTTTCAACATGGATCTTAAAATTTTTGAAAACAAAAAATGCTTCTGATTTTTCTGTTAAGAAATAAATCCATGTTTTTCTACTGAAATCATCAATAAAAGTGATCAAATGCCTCTTTTTGTTGTTAGAGATAGGTTTGATTGGTCCACAAATATCGACATGTATTAGTTGCAGAATTTGTGTTACCCTCCAAGCGCTCTTCTTTGAGAATGAATCTCTTGACTGCTTCCCTACCAAACAGTCCTTGCACAACATGTTTGGTGACTTCAATTTTGGTAAGCCATTTACCATACTCTTCTAATGTAGCGTATTTAAATCTTTAAAACTCAAGTGTCCATATTTGCAGTGCCAAAGATGCATTAAATCTTCTGTAACAATGTGAAAGCAAGTGGATTTTGTAGGTTGCGGTATGGCATGCAACATGAACATTCGATTTGAAGATATTCTGGTTTCCATTATCAAACCACTTTTAGGATGGAAGACTTTGCATTTTCCATGTTGAATCATAATACTAATCCTCTTCTCTTGCAATTGCCCAATACTTATCAAGTTATTCCGTAATTCTGGCACAAGAAAGACTCCAGTAATAGTATGTGTTACGCCATTTATGTTTAATCTTATGTTACTTGTTCCTGTTACAGCCATGGTGGAATTATTGCCCAACTTGACAAAATCTTTGTAACTCTCGTCAAGATCTGAGAAGTATTCCTTCTTTCCGCACATGTGATTGCTACATCCAGAGTCAAGAAACCAAACAACTTTATTGACCTTGTTCATATCTGTGTAGGCCATCAACAACATTTCTTCTTGAGTCTCTACACAATTGGCCTCCTTCCTTTGGTTCGAACATTCCCATATTTGTCTGCCTTTGCCTCGTCCTCGCCGTCCAAAACCTCCACGACCTCAACCTCTCTCTACATATTGAGCATATTGATTATCTTGATATCCATGAGTAATCTGCAAAGGATGTTCTTCTTCAATATGAGAACACATGCGTTGTTCATGAACAAGTAGGCTGCTTTGTAATTCATCAATAGTCAAAGTGTATGTATCCTTAGATTCCTCAATGGAACACACGATATAATTGAACTTGGGAATCATGGATCTCAAAAAAAAAATTAACTACTGCAACATCTCCCTTGTTTTCACCATTAGCTTTCATCTTGTTTGCTATGGTAAGTGTCCGAGCAAAATAATCATTCACGGATTCTCCTTCCTTTATATGGAGAGTTTCAAACTCTTTTCTTAGAGCTTGCAAATGTGCGCGCTTGACTCGTGTTGAACCTTCATACTTCTGCTTCAAGGAATCCCATATGTTCTTTGATGTATCTTGGTTAAGAATCGTCTCCAGAACTAAACGATCTAATGCTTGAAATAGATAGTTCTTTGCCTTCAAATCTTTTAATTTCTAATCATCAATGTTCTTTCTTTCTGCATCTGTAAGAATTATCCGTCCCGCTGCCGCAGGAACCCCATTTTCCACAGACCCCAATACTCCTTAGAACGCAAAAAGTTTTCCATGAACATCGCTCAATGGTCATAATGCCCATCAAACTTCGGTATTACTGGCTGCACAAATGAACTCTCTGATGCCATAGTTTTTCACACTTAGAAGATTGCAACTTCTACTTTAATTAGGTCCCGTGGTGAAGCTCTGATACCAAATGTTAGGAACTAAAATTCGTATGTGAAAGTATAAGGAAATTACCGGAGGAAATATTTGATATTTTGAAAGAAACAACGTAGCTCATATATATAGCCTTACGGATGAGAAATTGAAACTAAAAAAAAACTACTCATGTTTTGATCTACTAGTAACACTAAACTACCCATGTTTTCACCCACTACTAGCACTTCCTAATAACATGGTAGACTAATTCAAAAGGAATTAAATAATTTAAATAAAAAGCAATTATCACCGTCACAGAAAAAGCCAGAAACAGAAAACATTCGTTACAAGCATTGTCTTTTGGCCAAAACAAAAAGATCACAATGGACAAGATCTACAACAAACTAGTATTATAATCACATTGCTAATCCTTGCATAACGTATCTGTCCATACTGTGCCTGTGACTTGCAAATTAGTAGTAGTACTTACCCTATTTATTATACATCACTAATTTAACTTCTTTTAGCTCTTCTTTTAGTTTCTTATCCCTCGAATCTTTTGCTTCCATGTTGGCTACGGCTAACTCTATCCATGGAACTTGAAGTACCATCTTCTTTCTTTGTTGCTAGTGTCTTGGATTTCCTTGGTATGCACTTTGCTCGCACTGTATCTTCCTCATGCTCAATGATTTGCAACCGGGAACCACTGCAAACAGATACAGAATCAAGACTTTATAGTTTTGAGTAAATATATAAGGCAAACAGAACAAACAAAGTCTCTAATGAATGAAATATCTGAAATCAAATGTACTATTCAAGTACTCATTGGGCCCGACCAAAATTCCTTTTTTCATTCATCCACTTCCCACTGATTTAGGGATGGAAATTGACAAGTTATTAATCTATGGAAAATGAATGAACTCTTTGGATGCTTTCAATTGGACCCCAGACACAGAATCTGACAACTAAGACCGAGTAAAAAATGCTAGAGAAATCAATAGTTACAATAACTAAATTAAAAGGTATACAATTTATTCACCATTCATACTGGGTCCAAGATGTTAACAAATTTCAGATTCAATGAAAAACCAAATTTATGTATAATATGCTAAAATTAAAATAACATAACCCATGAGCCATTAGATTTGTAGTTTACTTCAAAGAATTGTTTATAGAATAACTTATAATGTTCTAAATTAGGACCACTTCTGAATGTCTGTTTTATAGGGCAGTATGTTTGAATGTCTCTTTCTAAAAATATACTAAATGTCACTGAGTTATTGTACAACCATCTATAGTATAACCTTTTCATCTTTTCGATATATATCTCAATTATTAGACAAACCATTCCAAAGAACTAGAGTTTGAATCTAGAGATTGAATCCTAATTGAAGCAAACATTAACTAAACTTTACATAAGATTACACTAAACAGGCAGAGATTAGAGTATCATCTTAATCTGACCCACAAAACTATATTAGTAATACTATATACACTAATAGTAACAGGATTATTTTAAACCTATAATCTAACCTACATTATATAATATTTATATTGTACTACTATTATAGTATAATATTAGTATATATTCAACTTCAACAACATTATTTTATATGATCTTCAATCTCAAGATGCTTAACCACTAATTTAATTGAACCAATGCAGCTTAGTTGAAACTCCGATATGAATGTCAATGTCTACAGTTTCCAATGTTGCTAATTACTAGACAGCACAAACTTTATTACACCAAAGAATTATTCTGGTCATTTCAAAATGATTATCATTTAAATTTTTTTGTACACAAATGAAAGAATATAATAATATTATCGTAAGATATTTCAATTTTAGAAAATTAATTTTATTAATGTATCGGAAGTAGTGTAATAAGTAAAAAGTAAAAAACAAAATTGAAAAAATAATAATTATTATTATATTAAAAAATGAAAATAAAAATAAAAATTATTTGTTAAAACGAACATTATTTAGTATAACGACGTGCATCACATGTATAACCATTTAATTAAAAATATTTTACAATCCCTGTAAAATAACTAAATTCATTCCCGTTAAAGTATGGTTTACTAGATAGAAAAAAGTTAGTCAAATTCATTAATTATGATACATACCTATCAGCATTGTAAGAAGAGGACCTTTTGAATGCAAGAGGAGCTTCCACTTTTTTGGTTTCAATCAAGCTTCCACTAAAATACTCTTTATCTTCCAGTCTCACTCTGCTCAATTCAGGAATTTCCATCAATGTCCCTACTTCTTTACCCTCATGATTCCCTGCTCCGCGGGGTAATCTGGACTTGTAGTGCCCGAGTAATGAGAACCCTTGATCTTTACTCACACTCTCCTTGAAAGAAACCGCACCGCACGATAACAACTGCAAGAGTACTGATGAAGCTTTCATCCTTCCACTAGCACAGCTTTCAACCGTCGGATTCTCTTTTGCGATAACCTCAGATCGTAATCCCAGCCGTCCATCTACCTTCATAAGTGTCCCCAATGTTTCTGGACTCGAATCCGACGGTGGAGGCGAGATCTCTTCCCTACTCAGCTCCGTACTCTGATTTTCATTACACTCAACGTGTGGGACCGTTTCAACTTCTTGATTTTCAATTCCATTCTTCCCTTTCTCATCTTCATCTTCATCTTCATCTTCCTTCTCTCTCACAACTCTTCTCCTCCTCCGTTTCTCCTCCGTCTGAGTCGACGCATCCGCGGCGATGTTTCCAACTGAGTCACCCAACGATTCTGACTTATAAACTCGGTACTCGTTTAAGTCAATCGAACTCCATGATTGGTTACGCCGCCGGCTAATCATCACTGGAGAATCAGATTCTTCCTCAAACGGCGTTGGAGCGGTGGGAGCAACGTGATCCAGAATCTCAGATCCTTTGAGAATGTAGTCTTGACCTTGCGTTGGATATATGAAATCGTTCTCGGATAAATCATGCCAAACGAAACCGTTTTTGTAACTCCTGAAACATATATATACAAACTCCGCCATCAACATCAAAATGACAATAGTAACTATAGTAGCTATACGAATTTGACTTTAAGAGTTGTTTGTTTGAAACTTACCTTTTAGAGGACCATGAGTACAGAGTAGCCATGGCTTTCCCACGAAGCAAGTTCAAGCGAATGATTACGTCTGTAAAAGAGTTATATACAGTGTAATTATCATTAAAAAGAAACTTGAAAACTTTATAAATTTAATTAGCGTACCTTTGAGGTAGAGTCCGTGAGATGAAGAAAGAGGAACTTCCATGAAATGAGGGTGTTGGAGTTGGCCGTTACGGGAGAGGTAGTAAACGACGGAAACTTTTCTGTTCGTTTTGGGTTTTGGTTCGATCCAAACTTTGGTTCTCTCTGGACTGGTTTCTCGGGTTACTGTTCTTCCTCTCGAACTCAAATTCACCGACATTTTCCTTCTTTCCAATTTTCAAAATCTGAATTGCGAGGAAAGAGTGAGTTAGTGATATGTGAGAAAAAGTATTAATAATGAGAAAGAAAGCGATGTAGCAGAGAGAGATTAGGGGTTGGTTGGTTAGTTTACTTGGTTGGTTATAGTTGAAAATGTTGAAGTGGACTTTGAAGAGATTTTATAAGAAATAATAGTAGTATCATGTGATGTTTTATTTTAGTAATATAAAAATAGAGAGAGGGAGAGATTTCAAAACGGGGATGCTAAAGACAAGAGCTAGAAAACAAGTAAGAGTTTCAGTACTGGCAGTCTTGTGACTACTATGACAGTAGAATTCTCCTTAGTTTATTACTCTAATATTACATTATTTATTTACAATACACATAATAGATGTAGAAGAAGTAGAAAAAGTATGTTACCAAAAAAAAAAGTAACGGAGTTGTTTTCTTCTTGCCATACCATACTCGTGACTTTTCTACTTTTTAATATCAAGTATTTACTCAAAGATTGACCAAATTATCAAAAATGTTCTTCTCTTAAAATGTATTTACACTACACTTTAGAGAACAAAATAATTAGTCAAATAAACATTCACTTTTAATTTTGGACTAATGAATGAATGACAAGTGATGCGTTATGTCAAAGAATCCAACATATCAATTTATTATTGACCACAATTTTCATTTTAAAAATCATTCTCCTCTCTCTTCTTCCTCCTCATTTCGTTCTCCTCTCTCTTCTTCCTCCTCCTCTCTCTTCTGTTGGTTGCTCTGTAACACATTATGGCGCTGAATGAAGGAAAAAGTGAAGGAGAAAGAGATTGTTCATAGTGGATGAGAATGAAACTGGTATTGAAGATAGGACTAATCATGTTAAAATACGGAATCTATTATTAAGTCATGATTTTGAGTCATCATGTGTTGATGGTTTATGTGAAAGTTTCAACAATTAGTCGGATTAATTTTAAATACTCAAAAAATGTATCCAACTATAATTTATTGTTGTATAAGTATTTATGGTTTCAAATTTCAATAAAAATAAGTGTGAATTGAGATTTGAGAATGCAAAAGATTATAATATAGGCCATTGTTGTTGAATTGCCATCAGAATATTATTTACTACTTTGTTTATGGAATTGATAGAGTTCTTATTGGAAATCAAAGAACACTATTTGTAGCTTTAACTCGTCATAAGAAGTTAAATGTCTTTCTATGCATAATCCATGGCTGGAGCATTAAGTGGGGAATATAGAAAAGGGTCTTTCTTTTTATCAAATTTCCAAGTTTATGTCTTGCACCTCTTGCATATTGCAGCAAGTCTATTTGTACTTGTAACTATTCTTGAAATTAATTTAATTATTAAGTATAAAAAGACATCTTTGATAAAAAGATTAAAGTTATAATGATATTTTAGTGTATAAGCTAAATAGTCAAATGAGCAGCCCAGAATAGTCTTAGAATAAATTAAATAATATTAGTTAATGTTTTTTTAATTTTATGTGCATCTTATACCCTTTTCTTATAACCCTCTTGTGCGCTAATATTCGAATGTATGCTTAATTTCTAAAAAAATCAAGTGTTTTAAAAACATGGTCTATATTTGAATTGATTGATTCAAAATGATATAATTTTAAATAAATTATAAATATTTTTTCACTAAGAATATAAACTATTCTGGACTGGGCCCGACAGGCCCAAAAGCATTATTAAGGCCCAGTCCAAAGGGACTCACTAAGGACCACACTGGGCAAAGGGGGTCACGTCCATGCTCGACACCCTGATGTCCACCTCGACATCTCGGCGTCCAGCCTCACGATGAAGTCATGCTCGACAGTCTGCCGTCCAGCTCTACGTCCTGGCTTCCAGCTCGACCCTCGCTGTCCAGCTCGAGGTCTTGGCGTCGAGCTCGGCACCGTGTCACTTAGCTCGACATGGTCTCGAGCTGACTTGCTAGGGCAGACTTAGTCCTCCATTGCCCCAACGATACTCCGGAAAGACCGCGTCTCCGTCCGCCCGCACATCATGCAGCATATCCAGGAAGGGGACCACGTGCTGGTCCCCACTACCCACGTAGAACCTGGCAGTTCCTCCATTGGGCCAAATCCGCCCGGCCCAATGAAGGAACCTTGGCCCAGCGCTGGGGGCTATAAATACCCTCTGCTTCCAGAGGGTCAGGTATTGATCATTCTAACCTCAACTCTATTATCTGCTAGTACTCCCACTGACTTAAGCATCGGAGTGCCTTGCAGGTACCCCCCCCCCCCCCTCCTCGTTCAAAAAGTCTTCAGCTCGGAGTAAGCCGTGACGGTCCAAACCTTCTGATCAGGTCAGATCAGTGGCGCCGTCTGTGGGAACAAGCTTCCCCGTCTAACGAACAGTTCCAAAGACCAAAGCTCAATCCATTCACTGTCATGGCTACCCCAACTCGTGAAGAACAACTCACCCGCGTCCTCGACACCAACAACGGTCTGGCGGACAAGAATGGGCATCTGGACAATCCCAGTGATGCCGGCCACAATACCATCCCCGTGACAACCGCCCCTGGACCTTCCACCCGCAGGGACGGAAACACTGCGTCGTCCTCGACACCTCCTCCAAGACTCGAAGACGACCCGGAGGCTCTCGCCTACCGCCAAGCTGCCCGGTTCTATGAAGTCCAAGTCCCCGCCGGAGCAGATGCCACGACTCAAGCGTTGTTCGCGGCCATCAACCAGACGAACTATCTCATGTTCGCCCAAGGAGAAAGACTAAGGGCACTTGAAACTGACCGACGCCCCCCGAGGAGACATCAAAGGCCACCATCTCCACCTCCTCGGGTCGAAGAAGTTCGACACCCTACTCCTCCGCGGAGACATCACAGGGAGAACTCTAGGAGCCCCTCTCCCCCACCAAGGCAGAGGTGGCCCCAGTATGAAAGACAGCCCGTCATCCCTGCCGAAGAGCCCAGTCGCGACCCATCAAGGCACGACAGGAGGCACAACAGAGACGGGCGTGTGACCTTCAACCACCGAGCATCACGCTCGAGGGAGTCTCAGCACGACCAGCGTGCCAGACATCACTACAGGACCCCTTCTCTTTCTCCAGAAAGGAGCGACGAGGACGACCCCCGCGGTCCCCTGTCGCAGGCAATCATGGACGCACCTATTCCCCCGGGCATGGAGAAGCCCCCACACCTAAAGGAGTATGATGGAGTGGCGGACCCAGTCGACCACATTGACGGGTTCGAAGCCATGCTCCACTATCACAATGTCGGGGGGCCCATCAAGTGCCGTCTCTTCCCAACAACTCTCAGGAAGGCGGCCATGGATTGGTACAAAGGACTTGCCCCAGGCTCCATCACCTCGTGGAGGAACTTGAAGAATCAGTTCATCAGTTCCTTCACGGCTTCTCGTCGCCACCCAAAGACTGAGGCAGCCCTCGAGGCCATCATTCAAAGACATGATGAGACCTTGAGGGAATTCATCAACCGCTTCAACCGGGAAGCAATACAGGTCCCCTGCGCGGACCATATGAAGAGGTATTTGCTGGAGAGGGGCCTCCTCCCCGGCACAGAATTCAGGAAAGCTGTGGGCATTGAGCCACCTGCAACTTTTGATGCTCTCCTCGACAAAGCTCGAGCATATATGGACTACGAGGAGAGAGAAGCTGCCAACAGGGCACGGGACTCCAGGGCTCGCAACCATGGAAGCAGCTCGAGACAAGACCCTCCTCCCCGACGCACCGGAGAGAAGAGGAAGGAAGACAGACCCCGGGAGGTCCGGGAACAAAGGGGCCCCTCGGGCCGGTTTACTGAGTACACTCCGCTCACGGCTTCCCGCGAGCGTATTCTGGCGGAGTGTGCAAGCACAGATTTTAAAGACGGTGGCGTCAAGCGTCCCCGACCAGCTCCTGCCAAGCCAGGAGTAGACAAAAACAAATACTGTCAGTACCATAGGAGTCATGGTCACTTGACAGAGGACTGCGTCCACCTGAAGGACGCCATTGAAACCCTCATCAAAGGGGGGAGACTGGCACAGTACAGGAGAAACGACGCTCCCCGTCGTGAAGCCCGCGAGGCAAAGGAGCCCGAGGAAGATGCCCGGCCATCTGACGAGTCGGTGCCAATCCAGACCGCCTTCTCGGTAACCAGGCCCGAGGATTTCGAACTGCCCGAGCTCCTGCAGGAGCCCCTGACTACACACAGCAGATGGGAATACTTCCCCTCCGCCATGGTCATCAACGGGGGCGGGTTCAACGACCTCACCATCAACTCAGCAAAGAGGAAGTTGGACGAACTGGTCGACAAAGCTCCTCCTCAAACTGTGACTTTTGAAATGGTGAGGGGCAGATCAGAGCCTATCACCTTCTACTTGGAAGAGCTCCCCGGCGGAGCACCGAACGCAGTCATCCCCTTGCTGATAAGGGCAAAGATGGCCAATTTTGACGGGCATCGCATCCTGGTCGACGAAGGGAGTTCCGTCGACGTGATGTACACTCAGCTGTTCCGGACCTTACAACTGGACGACTCACATCTGTCTCCATATATAGGTTCGGACCTTCAAGGCTTCAACGGCTCGACGTCCAAACCTTGGGGATATGTCGAGCTCCTCGTGACGTTCGGGGAAGGAACTGCTACAAGACAGGTGAAGGTCCGCTTCCTCGTCATTGACTGCCCGTCCCTGTACAATTGCATCTTGGGGAGGCCGACATTGGCAGAGCTGACAGCGGTTCCCTCAACTGTCCATCTCAAAATGAAGTTCTACACCAAACGGGCAAGGGTAGCCACCATCCAGGGCGACCTCGCTGCTGCCCGCAGGTGCTTCAACGCCGCTTCAAGGGGTCGGGATACTGTCGACGTGGGTCCCAGCACTAGGCCCATCAAGAAGACAAAGCAAGAGCCCGACAGAGCATCTCCTGAGGTAGAAAAGGCTCCACCAAAGGTCGACTCCATTGCGCTCGACGCCCGTTTTGACCAAGACGAGCCGGCCAGCAGCGAGCAAATTCCCCTCCGACCTATTCCGG